AGAGAAAACGACTCTGCCCAAGAACGACCGGTCGCTAGTGTCTCACGACCGGTCGCTCAGCACATAATTTTGAAGTTTCGACTCTGTACTAAAACGACCGGTCGCTTTTACCTAACGACCGGTCGCCAGACCAAAAACGACCGGTCGCTCTTACCTCACGACCGGTTGTTGGTCACTGTTCACAGCACATTTCCTTTTTTTTGTTTTGTTTGTTTCTTTTACATTTCTTTACTTTCTTTTTAGTTTCAAATTTGCATTTGTGCATTGTGGTGTGTTAATTAAGTGTTCTCTTTGTACTCGAATTAGAACTTATAGGAAACCGACAAGTTCTTCGTGGGATCGACCCCGTACTTACATAATCTATACTTCGATAGATTCGTGCACTTGCGGGTATTTTTAATTGGTTGTTTGCACATTAATTTGTGTCCTTTTAGGAATGCAACAGTTTGGCAAGTCATTTAGTGTGAAGCGATTGAGTAGTTTGGGAAACAAAGTCATCGCGCCACTGCCACTTGTCTCTTCCCCTTCTTCATGGATATTGTCCTCTGTGGAAGCAGCTGCCAGTACTATAGTTTCCATATTCTCACATATGTATATTTTGACTTCTTGGAGATTCACAAGGAGCTTGTAAATTTCATAGGGGCATAGATATTTCAGATCATAACAATATCCAATTGTTAAAGATCTTACATTTTGAAAACCTTGGAATCCAGGTTGAACGTTCTTCCACAAATGCTCCTTGTGATGTAAAAGAAGAAAAATAGTGTTATTTGATGACAACTCAATAAATCAATGAGTGACTTCCACGTATTACTCATAAAGGCGACAACTTCATGTTCGACTCATTTGCTCTTTCTACTGAGAAATTATTATATGGTACTTCGTTCACTCATGTGTTATGAGATTAATAGACAAGACAACATATAACTTAAAATTTGAGTAATGCGTAGAATTAATATTATAACTCATATCATAAAGCAATAATTGTGGTACAGGTATTGTTATTTTTTTATTTTTAGTAACAAGAAAACAAGTAGCACGGCGCATGGGTCATATCATAAAGCTGTTTTCTGAGTTGCTCTGTGGTGTGATATTGGACCCATGATTAGGGCACGTGATTCTTTCATTATTTTTTCTATTTTTGATTGCGTGGCTGGTTGCTTATCATGAATTTTAGCACGTGATATCTGTGCTATGGGTACCTACTATATATTACTCACAGAAGGTAGCATCTCTAGTTGTACATGCTTTGAACTTCAAGTTACTTATCTCCATGCAATCCAAGGCACTCTAAAATTGCTATGAAAATCACATGCAAACAAACACTTACATACCTCATTTAAATACCCCACTCGAAATGTCTGTAATTGAGAAAATGCTGAGTCATGCCCTTCTAAATCAAATACCACATTGACTACTGGTTCATTGTTTTCTTCTGACCCTTGCCCGCCTTTCGACACCACTAGTTCCTCTAGATTTGGTAACCATGAAATGCAATTTGAAGGAAATAGTGCATTACAACTTGCTCCCACTAGTGCTTTAGATGAGGTGGACCCAGCAACTTGATCGTCATTCCTAGTCTCTTTCATCTTGTTCACACTTTCATCATTGGGCTTTATAATCTGTACATTAATTAATTCTACATAAATAATGAACTTACACATGAGCCAAAAAGAAAGAAATACATAAGTAATGAATTTCCACCATTTGTCTTATTTCCAAATTGCCTTAACTATATTCCCACATCCTCTGTCATAAATTACTATTTACCAATAAACATTTATTGCATATGCAGACAAACTTAACTATTATTCTAACTTATGTATGTAGAAATAATAAGGCAAAAAGCAATATTCAAAGACATATTTATTGCAAAAGCATATGTACCATTTAAGCATCAAAATATTAATTATTTGTTTAACTAACATATTTAGATACATATATACCTCATAGGTAGAGTCGTGTTGGTTGCTCGTGTAGAAACCAAGGAGCTTGTGCAGATACTGAAGCTTCAAAGTTGTTAATCTTGACAATTTTATCATGTGAGATGCATTATCATCTTCCATTCTCTCCTTTGATATGATCTCTTCCACTTTAGTACAACTTCGAACTGTTAAGCTTTGGAGATGTACCAAGTTTTGTGCTACGGATAGTGAAAAGACATATTTTAACTCATGACAACTGTGAATTGCAATGGATCTTAGGTACATAAAGGAGCACTTGTCTAGATGTTGACGAGTCCAATCTGTTCCATTCATAAGATACTCTATGTCCTTGTCATACATGATTGATAAAACTTTCAAGCGTTGAAAGCCCACTTGATCATCAGATTGCTTCAAAAGCATCAAACTCTTTAAATTGCATGTGTAGTGTAGGCTTAAGTCTTCAGATTGCTTCAAAAGGTATCCAACTGTTCCAAACTCCATATATTCCGTTACATCACCATAAAGCATCAAACTCTTTTCAAATAGATAACCAGGCATTAAGTCGTCTTCTTCTTCATGTGACTGACTAGTATTGATAGATAAATGAAGTCTTATATGCTCGTTCTTTAAGAGAAACCCATTCTGCACTATCTGACCATCAGGTATTTCTATGGCTAAGACTTTTAAATGAATAGATAGAGACGTCACCTCATCAAGGCTTGCCATGCTCATTTCGTCCTTGCTTCCTATTGTTGGCTCCCAATTGAGAAAGCTTTTTGCCATGTACAACTCTTCTAACCTCCCTAAGTTGCATAAGACACCATGAGGAATTTCTTCAAGTCCTTTACAATCTGTTGCATCTAGAATCCTTAATCGTTGAAGATCTCTGATTTCTTTAGGCAACTTACTGATTTCAGAGCGAGCAAAGCTGAGGATCTCTAAATTCTCAAAAACTCCAATAACATGAGATATGTCTCCCAATTTACAATCCTCTAGACACAAGGTATGAAGCTACTTGGGTTCTCCGAGTGCTAGAGATATTTTTGAGGCCAAATAACTTGACATATCCATCCCCAAGAAAGCTAAAACCTTGAGTTCTTTCAGCCTTTTAAAGTGGTGGGAATATTCTGAATTGGAGAAATTTTTCAGTTGTAGAAGCTCAAGTTTTTGGCACTCCAAACCATCTGTATTATCTTCATCTAACTTAAAATCAATTAATGAAATTGCACTGTAATGTTCTTGGTTTGTAGCTTTTTGTACTCCTAACCATCCTCCATCTCCACCTTTTGTATCAAACGATCTTACCATAAATCTGTGAGGATCTTTTGAGGCAATTGATATAGCAACATCACGAACTATGTCATGCATTTTGATACACTCTTTCTTGAGACTATCCAGCAACAAATACCTTCTTTTTAGTTGTCCAACGAAAGAATGCACTTTGTTTCTTACATCTTCGACTGTGTTGGTGTTTCTAAAAGGTGCTCGACCCAACCCATACCTTACCAAATACTCAATCGGTATATCATAATCTTCTGGAAATAAGCAACAAAGTAAAAAGCATGACTTGACTTCATTACTATTCAATTTATCATAACTCACTTTTATGCAAGAATAAACCTCGGGTTCCATTCCAGGGATGTTTTCAGGGAGGGAATTTTTCAGTTCTTGCAAGGCTGTATTCCATTCATGCTTGCCATTACTTGGTAGAAGAGCTTTACCAACAGTTATGATAGCAATGGGTAAACCTTTGCATTCATCAACAATTAATTTTTCAACATGAGACAATTCAGGATTATTGTCCAAGGATTCACCTACAGTCGCACTGAAAAGCTCCCATGCTTCTTCTTTATTTAAGGCTTGGACTCTAAAAATGTCATCTTTACAACTCATTACTTTACAAACTTCTTCATTTCGAGATGTCAACAAAATTTTGCACTCTTCATGATCACTGAAAGGGATTCCTACATCCTGTAATTTAAGCTCTAACCAAACATCATCCAATATAATCAGGATTTTTTTACTCTGCTTGATTCTCTCATGTAGCCTTGGTGCTCTTCTGGATTCACTTTCCTCTACAAATTTCATACCCAGTGAGTCTGCAATGTCAGTTTGAATTGTCCCAATGTTTACAATTGCGGAGACAGTTGCCATCAGAACATCATCAAATAGACTCGTTCCTTCTAATCTCTTGATGATTTCTCTCACCATGGTGGTTTTACCCACACCTCCCATCCCGCAAATCCCAATTATTCTTGTCTTTTCATTCCTCAAAGTACTAAGCACATCATTCATGACATATTTTCTGGATTCAAAACCCTTAAAACCTTCACTAGAGATTATTGACCCTAGCTGTTGCACAGGTGCAGGATTGGCAGCATTATTACAAAGTCCTTCGTCTAGTTTGAGATCAAGTACACGCTGAGCAATCTCCGTGGCTTTCCTACTCAGAGAATACAGCGATTTCAGACTTGGGCACAATCCATACAAACACCGCCTTTGCTTGTTGACTTTGTTTTCAAGTTCTTTCGCTTCACGAAATATTTGGCTTACTTCCTCCAGCCAGCTTTGAACTTGATCTTTGATGGTTGCACCATTCCTTTTTGCAGCATCCACAGATCTTTGCACATCATTTTTCTTGTCATCAAGCTTTTTAAGCACCTCCTTTAGACTTTCTATGTTACAAACTTACAATGGTAGCACATTAGATAGCTGAGTTGTCTTCCAATTAGTGCCACTGGTGGTTCTACAATTTGAGATGCAATTGAAGTACAAATCTCTTCCATTTTCTGTTGACTTTTTATATAAAGTTGCCAGAGACTAAGGAAATTCTCAAACCAAATGAAATTGTTGCAAGCGATTCCACACCTACAATTTTTATTATGAAAAAGTAAGGTAAACCAACCAAAACCCCACCAATCAATTCTCATAACATTTTCGACAAAAAATAGTCTCATAACATTAAAAAAAATGTATTGTCATGGTTACAAGAACAAACAGTACACTTTCCACACTAAAAATTTTGGGTCGAATTCCAACTCATTATTTATAGATACTAGTCATTGATTTTATTGTTATCCTTCTTCATACCTGTGAGTTGTGGTCTAGTGGTTGGGGAATGTTGAAAGTTAAACCAAGCCAAAGGAATCCAACTTTATCCATATTTTGTAAAAGCATGTAAGCATGCTGTCGGCTAGACTTGGCTTTGTTTATTAACTCAATAGGGTATTTTGTTTTACCCTATAGGCATGATGTCGGTTGATGTCCTCTAGGCAACTTTTTCTCTTTTGACTAAAAGTTTGTCTCTCAAAGAGACGTTGGTCTCTTGTTTTGTAATGAGAGTGTTGTTGTAAAAAACTATTATTATTGAATGTGAACTTATCAGACGGGTCAAGCCTTTCTTCCATATTCTCTCTGAGTTTTCCAGCAAGAGTCTTCTTCCTTCTATTCTCTTCCGTGTCTGTGAGTTTTTACTTGCTTGCTGTGTTATTTGGTTTGCTTGTCTTGAGTTAGCTGCCGTGAGTTTTT